CAGCGGGACTGCTCGTGTCTGGATTGGAGATGGTTGCCTGGCCCCAGATGATCCCAGCCTGATAAGCCGCACGCTTTGCATGTTCTCTGAGCGCTGCCTGTGTTGGTGGAATTGAGTTGTACGGCCTCTGCTTGCGGGCAAAGAGATCTAGTCTTGCTTCATCCACACCAGTGGTTGCGCTTGATCTGTCGTACATGAGGACAACGAATCTCTCCAGCTTCTGCAGGTCAAGATCACAAATCAATGTTGGATGCTGGCTGAGATTAGTGAATGTTTCAGAAACATCATCGAATACGTTCCAAGTCTGCCATGCAGATTTCTTCCCTTTCCCACGGAAGGCAGACACGACATCACATCCAGTGAACGCATGAAAGTATGGGATCCCTCTAGCTTTCTCAAGCCCTATTGCAGAAACTACCTCATGGACTGGAATCCATCGCATCTTGGCTCCTTGGCCAAAGGCAATCCACATTTTCTCAAGACCTAGTTCCTGTAAGGATGGCAGTACAGATATTGCTATGACTAGCACGTCCGTGTCATTAGCCTTAATGATAATAGACTTGCTCCCATCAGTCGTTGCATCCCTGGCGTGCACAAATATTCGACTGTCAGCTTCTTCATGAGAACATGGGGACACAGCATCCAGCAACTTCCCTGTGTTGCTAATGGCTTCTTCTCCTTTTGTGACAATTACTGTGCTTGTCGTCTCTGCTTCACACATCTTTTCCGCAAGGAAGTGAAACAGCTCAGTCTTGTTGCTGGCGTCACGAAGGAAGCTTTGCCAGTTACCTGGTGTCTTACTCGTCCCTGTCACTCTTCTTCTGATTCCTGGCCCTCTTTTCGACCTTGTCTCGGATTTCAGACTTGACTTCTTGTACACATCAAAGACTACGTCCACCCGCTTGTACCTGGCACCATAGGATTCAACCTTTGGGATTATGTCTTCTTTAGCATAGTCATCAAATGTCTTTGAAGTACGTGGAGGTAAGGCATTGATAAGTGCTGAGCCATCAATGATGATTGCATCTCCATTTGGTTCTGTGTCTGGGATGTTCACTTGCGCTTCAAGAATTTCAACCAGCTGTGACTTCTGACACGTATGAAGCTTGCCGCTATCACTGAGAGATGCAGGGTGCGACTGATTTTCGTGCTTGAAGAATTCTTGCAAGTTACACTGCCTGTTCTGGCACGAGATGAACAGTCGCGAGAATAACTGACAGTCGTCTTTCAGGACTTTCTCCTTAGAAATGTCCTTAGCCTGCTCTTGTTTGAAGAAAGAAGCAAGGTTTTTCTTGATCGGATTATAAAAAGCACTTTCACCTTCATCCTCTAGCCCCTCCATGAATGATTGGAACTGCTCTTTGCCCCGTCGGTGATGTGTTGCTACCATTTCAGCTAGAGTTGGGTCTGCAATGTTCTTCGTGTCTAGCACCAGCAGGTCGGCTGATTCTTCTTGGAATGGGTTGCCCATCTCCTGCATCACTGCAGAGAGTGATTTCACCTTTGCAAAGAAAGATTTCTGGGCACTCCTTGTCTGCTCGTGGTGTCTGCTGCTATATGTGGCATCTTTCATACCAGACATGGCCTCGTATCCAGCTACTAGACGACTAACTTCGGGTCCGGCGACCATCCACCTACGAAGTGCTGACGCGTCTTCTGTCAACCCAATTGCTCCTCCGTCACCTTTGATCACTGCATTATTTTGCTCGTGTGCTTGGTCGATCGCCAGGCCAGAGTATTCTCTTCTTGACTTGTGGATGGCAAAGTTCCCTTAGTGAAACTCTCTGGCCACATCTGGATGTTGTTGCTCAAGTGACATCATATCTCGGAGGTGAATTGGGATCCACCGCGCATAGTTGACATTGTTATTTGCAAAGAAGTAAGGCACCAGTTCTGAAAGTGCTTCACGGTACAAGTTGAAGTCTCCTTCTCTGAATGAGCGGATCAGGGTGAATATGGTGAGCTCCATGTTCAGCACCAGACTACAGAACTGGAACTGCGGACTCTCTTTCCTCCGTTGTTCACACCAATCCTCAAAGGTTATATCTGATATGCAAGACTCTTCAGAGCGGTAATCATGGTATGCCTTCTTCATCAGTTTGTACAAGCTGCATGCAGTGATCTGGTGTGCTTGTCTTGTCCTGGTGACACTGGATGCAGACAGGTAAGACTCTGCTGTACCAGATGAGGCCACCTCTGCTTCCACAATGGCACTGGTCCAGCCACTCTCCCGTAGTAATGTTCCTATCGATCTCAGTGCAGCCATTTCTATATGAAGTCCACCGAACATGATCACAAACTTGTCCTCTCCATATTCGGGCCACTTCCATTGTATTTGTTTTGCCAGAGCATATAACGGTTGATCAGCAGCAATGACAGGTGTCTGCCCTGGGTTCAGAAAAGCCACTGTATCACGGACCTTCGCCATGGCATGCTTGATCGTTGCAACAGAGTGAGCCTGATCTCGCCACAGAGGCATCATCGCTGAAATACTCACTTCAAATGGATGGCTCCTTTTCTGCGTTGCATGGTGGGCTGACCATGTGATGCTTACTGCATCAGCCACATCCTCAGTGAGGAAGACTTCCTCCAACCAAGAATATTCTTCCTTCAAGTGTAACCAGATCGACTCGGGTGCTGGTAAAGATTGGTTTGCTACTGGAGGAGGATTGGGTTTTTTCGTGATGTATGCTGGTCGAATATTGGTGTATGCTTCTGGAAGCTCTGGTACTTTCTTAACCTTCATTTCTGACTCTAGTTTGAGCGGCTCACGTTCATCGCCAGCATTTTCAGTGCTTGGATGTTGGAAAATGGACACACTTGTACCATGGAATGATGTTTGAGCTGTGGTCGCAGTCGGATTACGATCTATGTTGTCCGCTGCTGCAGTTGTGAACAACTGCTTTCTCAAGACTGGGGGACAGATTACTCCATCTTGCACATACTGTGCAACAACTGCTTCTCCTAACTGTGCTGAGATTTCTAGGACTCTGTCGTATGATATGCTGAGCCCATTCTCATGGAGCATTTCAATGATTTGTCTCTTCCTCGTCTTGGCAAACACATACAGGCCCATGTAGACTGCAAAAGGTGGCTCACGGTCCTTGGAATGCCTGTGGACATCCGTTCCTTCCTTATATTTCGCAAAGCAGTTGTACTGTAGGAGTTGCGATATAGAAAGGTCAGATTTCGATGCTCCATGCACGAGTTGGGACTTGATGTCAGCACCATGTTCGATCATACATACAAATTGCAGCAGTGATGGTGGTACAGCCTGTTCTAGGTCTGTGTCGTTAAAGGTGCTGCTGAAATTTGACTTTTGATGTAGCATATCTCGTCTTATTATCCCAGCAGCTTTTGCTTGGTGGATCGCTTCACCGTACTTGGATGCTTGTGAGAGGATTGAGCCTACATCATTTTCAAAAGCCAGCATAACATCTCGTCCTTGGTGATGAGCTTGCAGCTTGGGAATGTGAAAAAGCAGCTGGTCCTTGAGTCGAGTAGGATGAACATCAGGCGATTCAACACCAAGCTGCTCCAGCCTCTGCTTGTAAAGCATGGTCAAATTAGCAAGCTTCAATATGAGTGGATCACTACTATCACTGGCATTTTTTATCTCACTAATGTAGGTGACGGAGAAAGCAATTGGATATGCTTCCTTCCAGTGCTCCTGTGCTTTCTCTTGCTCCTGCACCTTTAGGTAGGCTCGTTCTCGGTTATACAATGCCACCAAACAAGCAGGGTGATATTTCAGTTCTTGTGCTATGACATCTCCTACACTTAGTTTGGCAAGGAGTTTTCTATCACTGAGTGTTTTTGCACATTCGTTTATTCTGTTATTCACTTGCATTGTCATTGCTTCTCTAAGCTCCCCTCCTTTTTCGCAAAAGAAACATTCTTGTGTTTTAGCTTCTTGGACCTTTCGTGGGATCTTACTTCTACCGCCCTCATCACTAGTACCTGTAGGGGTTGATCTTTTTTCAGCTCTGTGTAACTTTGTGTTGTTAAATAGAAGCCTACAACTCTCATGATATTTTCCCTTCTTTTGTCTTAAGGTTTCATTTATCCCACCACCTTCGTCAAGTCTTGCAGGGTCTAGCTTGATTGGTAGTGCATTGAGTGAGTGAAACAGAGGAATATTCGTTGCCAAGTTCATATATCCATCATCGCCTCTTCTGGCAGGATTGCCCTGGGGGGACTTTAGATCTTCTTTCTTAACCTCCTGACATAGGCAACACTTGGTCCAGTCAGTGTTCCACGATTTTACAGTAGCACTTGTGTCCATGGTCAGTATGACGTTCAGGGTCGAGGGTTTATCCTTTTACCACCCTGTACGTGTATAATAGACACTTTCCTGTATGATAGTGTAAAAAGTAATTGAATGAATTAGCTAATTTCCGATAGCATAGTTAGCTTAGCTTAGCTTACACATTGAAATAACACACAATTAACCACAATTTTGAAACACATCACTTGGCACACACAAGTCAGTTTGTAAGTACTCACAGTCACAGATATCTACTCCGGATTAAACCAAAACGATGTGTGGCTGATAGAACTGGCTGCCACCATGTGCTCTCTGCATTTTGTGTCTACTCAAAACACACATGTCGCGCAAAATGGTGCCTTAAAGGTACAGTACCGAATTTCGCCACCAGGGCGTTTCAATATACTATAATATACTTAAGTAACTACAGTTGAGTAGCTACAGTGACATTCAAGTAACTGTGGAACTGTTAGTTATATATTTTTCTGCAATCCCCTAGAGACTAATACTCATGGTGACAAAAGTCGACAATGGTTCCCAATGGGTTAAAGTATTTCCTGTGGTCGTAGACCCATAAAATAGGTATCAAATTAAAGGTCTTAAATTATCGCATCCATTTATGACCTTTAAAATTTGATTAACCCTTTATGTGCCGATTTATTACGGTTTTCGGGCGGCTAATCTGGCGGCCATCTTGGAAAATGGCCGCCATCTTGGATTTCCAATTGGCCAATCAGGCAGATTTGATTAGTACCACTTGGAGAACAAGTGTGCCAAATTTGATGCTTGTATCATCATTTGCACGATTCTTCTGAAACATTGCTGTTATCTGCCCCACTATTAGTGAAGCATAAAACTCCTCCAGTTTGAGATAGTTGAACTTCTCCTTTAAGACGGAGTCACATTGAAGATCAATCAGTTCCAATTGCAACTCCTGCGGCGCTGTTTCACAGTCTTGTGACAGCGGACATGAAACCAGCTGAAGTGACTTTTCGATTTTTTTTTAGCTCTGGAAAATCGTCAGCTTTCCCGATTAACTCCAAAAATGAGCTAAGCTCCCCTTTAAACTCCCACACTCGTCGACATACTTTCCCCAAACTTAACCAGCGGACATGAGAATGATAAAGCAAGTCCTGGTGATCAGCATCCGTTTCCTCAAGGAACTTAATAAATTGACGATGCTGAAGTTCCCTCGCTCGTATACAGTTAACGAGTTTTATGACTGGCTCCACAACATGATCAAGTTGCAATACAGATTTACACAGGGCTTCCTGATGGATTATGCAGTGCAGGAAAATGACATCCAGCTCAGGATTTTCCTCTTTCACTTTATCCTGGATTATTTTCAGCAGCCCGACTTTTTTTCCTGTTAAGTTTGGCGATCCATCTGTGGTGACATTGGCAAGTTTACTCCAAGATAGCTTCAGCCTCTCGATGACATACAGTTCTTAAGACCCAAACTGCGTTTTACGTCGCTGATTTTCTCCGCAACACCGCTCACAACATCAATAGAGGACTGCGTCGGGTAGTTTTTAATCATACAAAGCCAGATTAAATTAAATAACTACTTCTCCAGCTTTATACCTTTCTCCAGAGTGCCATGGTGCATTGTTTATTAATGTGTTTCAGTGGCATTACCGCCCGCTGGAGCGCGGCTCGTCCACCGGAGATTATTCTCCCGTTAACTCACAGCAGCGGCCGCTGGAAAGTATTCACTGTCCGACTGTCACACAAGCAGCTGAGAAATATTCCCCATCCCCATCAGTGAATGTGTGTCAGTCTGAATTGATGCTGTTTGGCATCACAACGCTGTTTCTCTGGCATTCTACAGGTGATGTTAGCATAGCAACCGAAGCTAATCAGACTATATTGACTACTTCATATTGTGGCATAAATCGGCACATTTTACCGGCGTAGTTTTCGTTATGATTTTACTTGTGATGGCCACATGTAGCCCATGTATTGATTCCATCCGATAGCTGCAATAATACAAAACAGGAAAACATCTGCCTCTTCACAATTGTCAATAACGGTGAACGGATGGTCATTAAAGTAAGGTAAAATAAACAGAATCACCCCATAAGAAATGTTACCATAGTACCATGGTATATTTACCATGGTACATGTACCATGGTATTTTTGACAGATTGTACCATGGTACATACCATGGTACATTACTATGTGCTATGGAACAAATACCATGGTACATATTACTATAATGTGCTATGGAACAAATACCATGGTACATACCATGGTACGTACCATGGTACATTACTATATGTGCTATGGAACAAATACCATGGTACATTACTATATGTGCTTTGGAACAAATACCATGGTACGTACCTTGGTACATTACTATATGTGCTATGGAACAAATACCATGGTACTATAAAATATACCATGGTACTATCTGTCAAAAAATAATGTGGTACATGTACCGTGGTAAATATACCATGGTACTATGGTACGAGTACTATGGTAACATAGCTGTTGGTGGGCTTGATATCCCACTACCCCTGGCACCATAACAATTACCATGGTAAATACATATGTTCTTGTATTTGTGTCACACCTGTACCAAACTGTAGATACTGTAGAATGTACAATGGTAGGCTATATCAAATAAAAATAATGGACTGAGGCAAATATAAATAATACATGGATTCAACATGTATTAACACGTATTAACATTTTTAATTTAAACTACAGAACATACAATATTGAATGCAAACAAACATAATGGCCTAACGTGGCAGAACAAATTGATTTTTTTAAATGTTTTCCTTTTGAGGATCTTCGCCGAATTGGAGAGTTTCTGGCGTATATAGCCCTTGATCTCCGCCTCTGTCTTCTCTTTGAAGACAGATTTAACTTCACCTAAAGAGAGAAAGAAATAAAGAAAAGGGGAATTAACAGATGAAGAGACAAATTACAAAAACAGACAGACAGTCAGGTAGACAGCAGGGATGCAAACTCATCAGGTATGAAAAAGGTGACAAGGATCCGAGCCCCCCGACCACCACACCCCACGGAAAATAGGCTTTAAAATGAGGAATAACAGGATGTTAGAAGTACGCCAGAAACGCCAAAGAGTCACATCTAATAGAAATATATAAAAGCATTTATTTTAATTGTGTCAGTTTATAATGTTGGCAGCACTGTTGAGCATTTTGAAAATGTATTTTCATGCCTCTGTTGAAGGCTTAGTCTTTCTATCTGTATAGCCACTGGTGTTAAGTAACTACGTTCATAAACTCAAGTACTATACTTGGGTACAATTTTGAGATACTTGTACTTTACTCAAGTATTTCAATGTTTTGCTACTTTGTACTTCTACTCCACTACAGTTCAGAGGTAAATGGTGTACTTTTACTCCACTACATGTATTTAATTCCTTTAGTTACTTTACAGATGTGGATGAATGATGTGAAATATAATCAATTGTTAAATAAGACTTTAGTTCCACCTGGAGTAAATCCACAAGCTACCCTGCAGTATTTTATTTATCGTACGATAAGTCAATTAATTGCTTATCGCGACAGGCACACAATAAAACAGTGGAAACAAGCATGTGTTTGACTTTCATTAGTGAATGAAAAGTTGTGCCCTTTATAGTTTATGTCCAAGATTGTGTATTTGTATATATTGTATATATATCCTATATATATATGCTAAGGTCCCGCTGCTGACACGATAGCAGTCATTTAGTGCGCATATGTGTAATTAAACCCATGATATCAAAATCTCACTCCAGCCAGGTACCCAAAGTTGGCAACCCTGTAATATATAAAAAAATAACACCATGTGCGTCATGATGGCAAAAACAGCTCGCGGCCACACTAATTACTTACAAACAATCTTCGTGAGTTCAGCAGAAGGAAGGGATGGTCGTGTCTCCCCCCTGCTTGATGCCCCAAGCCCAGTCACGCTGTGAGCAGCCATAAACGCTGTTGTGTACAGACCATGCATTAGGTCGTTGGTGTACTTAGCTGCTGTGGACTTATTGCACCGATCTTTTATGGCTTGTTTAATATCCTAAGAACATAAAATAAGTAACACACTGTGTCATATTATCAGGACATGATTTGAAATGGCACTATTGTGTTTCTAAGACAACAATTAAAATCATCCAAATCAATACTTGATAGTATACCTATTAGACAATATGAAACTTACAAGACAGACAGCATCGGTGGAAATCCCACCATCCTCCAAAGGCAGATGTGTTGTGGAAGACTGCTTATTTAAAAAAAAAAAACACACAATAATCTTTGTTACTAATAAGAAACTACAGAGAAGATACATAGACATACAGACAGACAGGTACACACATAAACAGAAAATCAGGCAAAGAATGAGAAGCCGGAGCAACATGGCCTTAACGTGGACTAAAATGGTTAACAAGAAACAATGCAATGGCAAAAATAAATATAAATATGGGGAAATATAATTAAATGTTGTGAGTTCTAATTTGGATGTTTAAACAATTATGTTTAGGTAATGATTGCACTTCCATCAATTAGTGATCAGTTAAATCAATAATCATCTACTTGATTTATAACCAAGAACAATACTAATAACAATATATAATAGCTGTAATTCATGTGATTACACAACAACCTATCATGTACCTGCAAACTTGGTCCAGCAGTTGAGGTGTGAGCCGTAGATCTTCCTTCCTCTTCTGGTTTTCTCTCTTTAATTGAGTGTGTTCATGAAATAAACAAAGTTTAAAAAATGACAACACAAAGCTGATTTAAAGACATAGCAGATGTAAACAAGTAACAAAACATACAACGGTCTGAGTGTTGCTCAGCGAGCTGCTGCATTGAGGAAATCATCCTAGGGAGACCTACAAATACAGTGATTATTAGCAATATCTCATTGAATAAAGATAACAAGTCTACAGCCAAATTACAGGGGGTAGAATTTACCATCTCAGTTTGGTGTATTGGCATGCTAACATTAGCTAACTAGCCCTAAACAAAGTATATGTATGTAGGGCTGATGGGAATGTCACAAGTTTTTAGGTTATTTTTACATAAGGTGCCAGATGGTGCGTAATGAAACTACCAACATTTTCAGGTTTTGATTTACTTTGAGGGATATATGGATATCTGTAAAAAAAAAAATGCATTATAGCAATTGTAGAGACATTTAACTTAAAACAGAAAAAAAAGCTGGGATTTAACAATTGGAAATTGGATTCGTCCGGGGACCTAAAGGTTCATGGCAATCTATCCAATAGTTGTTAATATGTTGAAATAGCCTCCCAACTGAGATACGGGATTGTCCCACTCTCAATAGTTATAAAGGTTAACTCAAAGAATGATTGAGAAACAAACAGACGTGCGATCACCGCTAACTGCACTTTAACACAGGGGTATCTCCTCTTGCACTTTGTGCATCTCTTGTATCATCTCTTGCACTTAATATGTTGTTGCTGCTATAGTGTACTGCCATGTGGTAAATACTTGTGTGTGCTGCTCTTGCTCTTTCTGCATATCATGTATTTATTTTTTGCTATGTTTACAAATGTCATGTTCTTATATGTTGTATGTCAGGGACTATGGATGGAAATTAGCTCAAAGCTAAAATCCGGCATATTTACACTTGAAGCATTATTTGTCTTAAGGATTAATTAATGTGCATTGTCCCTATTCAAATAAACGATTAAATGAAAAAATAAAAATGTTGATACATTTGAGTCCAGACTGAAGTGGTGGACTAGCTAGCTAACTGACTGGGAGACAAACATTCTGTAAATTGCAAAACAGCTTCATGCTGCTACTGTGGCTAAAAAATATATTACTGTTAAATCAACATACCTTCAATGATGCTCAAAGCATTCCTGAGGGAATAATTCTCCCTCTCCAGTGCAGCAATCCTTTCCTCCAACGTCATCTGGTAACTATATTTGTTCACCTCTTGGGCCTATCAAAAAGCACACCATTAAAAAAAGAAGGTTAGGTTTAAAAGCCAGTGGTGGAAAGTTAGTTCTAAATACATTTACTTTTTTTATATACGTGTTTTGAGGATTTAGCAGCCAGGTATGTATTGCACAGTTTAGGTACATTTAGGTCACTGCACTTTGGACTTAGTATAAAACAGATACATTCCTTCTGAAGATCCTTATATTTTTGGATAATATCTGTGGATGTGGATGACGATGACTCCGGCCTTAGTTTTTTGCTTGGTCTCTCCTGAGAACAGACAACAACATACATACATATTTGTTTTTGTGTGTGTATCTTCATAAAGTGGTGGTGTTTCGATTTTGAATAACTCACCTCTGACTGTTCCACGTCGTCGTCGTCCTCCAGAAAAGGCCTCCTTTTCTTTGCCCTCTTGCCTTTTCCCATCGGCCCGGATTGTTCCAAAGGTTCTTTACCTTCAACCAGCCGGTTCCTCATCTTGAGGAGTGCACCTTTGTCATCTATTGAAAGCAACAAATATATTCAGCCTATTACTTTGTACAATCCATATATATATATATTAGGGCCGGGACTTTAACGCGTTAATTAAGATTAATTAATTACACAAAAATTAATGCGTTAAAAAAATTAACGCATTTTAATCGCACTTATTTTTGCACCGCGGAACGTTTCTCACTGGATGAGTTTCAGGCGTAACCATTATACTGGAGCACCAACTAACGTTCATGACTTCAGACAACAACAAACCACAGTGAACAACAGTGGGAAATGTTGTTTTAAAAAACGGACGGATGGAAGCGTCGATAAGAGCACGGTTTTGTGCAAATTATGCAAAAAGGAATTCGCATATCACCGCAGCACATCAAGCCTCAAGTATCACCTCAATGCAAAACATATAGCAGCTAGCGTGGAAGCTAGCGTGGACGTTAGCCTCTTTTATCGTGTTCACACCAAAAAGAGCCGGTACTAAAATTAGTTCATGAGAACCTTTTTACCCCTACGGCTCTCTTGTGAGAAAAGAGCTATATTTCTGATTGGCTGGGCGGATTGCAAACCACGCCCCGTAAAACTCCCAAAAAGTTTTGTGAAGCCGCCATTTTATTATCCTCGCATTAGCATTATTAGCATTAGCATTAGCCCAGCGCAGAAACGCAGAGAGACTAACTTATGGCAACACAAAATAAAACATGGGAGCGGTGGAGATGAGGAGGTGTCGGCGTTCTGGCGATTTACTCGGAAGGCTGCTGGGACTCCCAGCAGCTTCTACTGAAGCCAGTCCCCAACTTGGGGACTTCCGGCCGGGGACTTTGGGCGGCAGTATACGACGTGAAGTGGTTTGCTGCCTGCCAGTAAACCCAATGCAGAAGAAGAAGAAGTGACGTCAGCGGCTTCATTTGCCAATATTATTTCAATATTTCAATATTATTGTATTCTCTTTTTTCGGAGTTGCACTTTGCAGGCGGTCCCTGAGCACACGTTTCTTCTCCGGCTGCAGATAGAGACCAATGTAATGTCTCCAGTTTGGAGGACAGCACGTATTGGCTTTTTTTGATCAAAATGTGATTGTAGTTCGTTGTCAACCTTACCACGGTACTTAGGAGACGTCATTTGTGTCTGAACAACGTTTTGTTCATGAGTTATTGATCGTGAAATCTGAATCTGCCAATATCGTTCCAACTTTACTCGACTTGTTGTCACTCAGTCATCAGTTTCTATAGACTATCTGGATTTAGTTATTGCGTAATAATTATTGTGTTCCCACGAATTACTAATGCGTGGGAACGTAATAACTAATTTGTGGCCACGCATTATTAACTCGTGGCCACGCATTATTAATACGTGGCCACGTATTATTAATTCGTGGCCACGCATTATTAACTCGTGGCCACGCATTATTAATACGTGGCCACGTATTATTAATACGTGGCCACGTATTCATATTTTTCTCACCAATGTCACCAGGGGGGCTCCGTACTTAGCACTGAGAGCTCACAGCTCTTCATATCTGTTCAGAAACTAGACAAAAGTTAAACAAGTACAAACCACAGTCATGGCGGATACAGTCGCTGGTTTATTTATGTCTGTATAGGCCGTTGTTGTGAGTGTGGACGGTCGGAGCATATATAACGTTAGCCAAGCTCCATTTAGAAAACACGCATTTTAAAAGGTTTTTCGCCTGCCGTCTGTCTGCAGACTTGTCAAAGCATTAATTCATGGTTTTTACTAACCGGTATCAGTATGTTGTTACTTCGGCATCATTTTGAAACGTGTATTACAATTAAATCATGGTCAAATATGTTGTTGTAGTTGTAGCCCCCTTGCCAGCGATTCTCTCTCTAGTTTAGCATACTCAGCCCGACTCAGCCTGGTTGTTCCTGGCCCTAGAACCACGATTTTATGGGGCCAGAAAAACTGTGAATTAGGATCCGCTAGCCGGTACTAGGCCAAGTGGAAACGCAACCAAAAACGGGCCCCGCACGGCTCGGCACGCTTAAAGCGAGCTACCCGCTGCAGTGGAAACGCGCCATTATGTACGTGTCTCATAATAGAGCTACCAATAACCAGAATTGGCTTCTCAGCGGGTGTCTCGCTGAGTGGGGAATATCTGTTAGATACGTGAACGGGTTGGTGGGGACCTGCGAATCTCTTTCCCTTTACTAAAAACAAAACATGTACATGACATATTCAGCGGGACAAGTCCAATCCAGCTTTGTTTAATACATTACCTACGTTAAAGATGGTTTTCTGGAGTGAAGGCATAGTAAGAGCCTGTGCCCGTTTTCACCCTTAAGCTCTATAATTCAACGACAAGCTTGGTCTTATAAAGATGAGTCTACAAAAATACCCTATATGTCATACAGTGTACTGTAAGCTATATCGAATATCACTGCATAAACATATAACCTTTTCAAGAACTCTGTGCTCTTCTAGCTGATACCACAGATGTAATAGAACACTTTGTTTTCAAGCCAGCAAGCTTTAAAAACGATATGTATTCATCATGTTTTATTCCAGGTGGAAGCTCAATGTGCTGCACAACGTGTAAGCTACCACAGAAGAGAGAAACTCCCTCTGGAGAGAACTTTGGGAGTTTAACCTATGAAAACCATTTATGCACAAAAACCTATAACGCACTACAGGAGAGGGAAAAAGCTAAATAGGTCCCGTTTAAAGCGGTGTTATTTCGCTGTATGTTTGTTGTAGTAGCCTGAGAGTCTGGTGCAGAAGAGTTATATCCTGTACTAGAACAATTGCCAATTATTACAATAAATTAAACATAAGTCACACAAATAATACAGACACACATGTGAGTGAAAACTATCGGGTAAGAATAAAACATGTACAAATTAATATCAGAAACCAACCAGTAAGATTTATTAAGATTTATTGTGAATGATTTAAATCATTAAAAGATAAGAATAAACAAATGATATATATATAGTCAGAAAACTACTGGCTTTTTATTTGCAAAAGTGTAACAATGGTTCATAATAAGCAGTAAAGACTTAATTTAGTAAAAAAAATAGACATTAAAACAAAAAAGGGAATTCAAATAAAACTGAATCAATAATATTCATACATTATGTGTTGCTGATAGTTATGTGTAAAGAGCATAAACACAAAAATATAAATTACTCAAATGTGAATTATTGCCTTTTGTTCCAACTTGTTTTAAGATAATCTTCAAGAATCTCAACCTCCTGGATATTTTATCAGTGATTAAATATAAGACATGTTGGAACGAGGTCATTGATAATAATAATAAAAATCATATGTGTGTCACGGCCATACTATATTCTGCTTCTCCAAAATAGGCAATAGTGCAAGGCCACTGACCCTTGACACCCTTTGTCTCAGGCTGTAAATGTTCAACCATTTGATCTGCCTGGAGGTCACTATGAGTGACTAATGAAACACTGTTGACTAGTATTCCCACTCATAACACTAAAGGAGAAGAGGAATGTATTCCATAAACAGGCTTTTTGAATGTGTCCTTTGAAAATAAACTGTTGTCAATTACTTTACATTTCTCCAACAGTCACTACACTCACTTGTTTAGTCACAAGGCACTCTTCCCTTATATGTTCATGACGACTTATATATTTACTTTTAATTCATTCACAGTGCGGTATAATGAGGCAATAACAGGCTACAGATGTGGACATACAAACACACACACACACATATATATATATATACAATTTCAGAATCAAACAAGTATGAGAGCGCTCTCATAATAATGTAACACTATCAGAGACTGGATCCCAATATCGACTCTTTGTTTGTAGATATCTAGGCCTACTAAACTAAAGCATACAGATAAAGAGAGTAATGTAGGCCTATTATACTGAGTGATATATATTATACACACTGTTATGCTTTCTGCACAGTCCTCAGCAGCTGTTCTCACTGTAAACATCGCGTCGTGATTAAAGCAGTTAATAAAATAACATCCAGCCGTTTGCAGAGCTGCCATTGGCTGAGATAAGTCTGGCCGTGCGTCACGACTCTTTTAAACATCACTGTTGCCGGAAATACATCCGCGGAGGATACATCAGTGTATCCTCGGTTATAGCTCCTCCAGAGAGCCTCCTCGATGCTCGATCCTTGGTCCTCGATGTGCATTTAAAGAAATTAGATGTCCTTCAACATGGCGCGCTGAAATCCATTTCCGGGTCACTACCGGAGGACCCAGAGCCGCCCCTCCCTACAGGCCAATCACGCAGGCTGCATGGGGCCCCTCGACTCCTCGGTCCTCCGAAGGTCGAGGAGTCGGAAATAAGAGAAATGGGAAACCTTCATGGCCTCTTTGCCTGCAGACTCTTTTCTTGTCATTCTATCTCTTTGCCACTAGAGGTCAGAACCACACCATAATAATCTCTTGTGATTGTAACTGACCATGACACTGACAGCTCTGGAAAAATGAAGATACCGCTGCATAATGTTCAGTTTCACTATTTTTTACTATTTCAAGTGAAGTTAACATTTCTTGTTATTCCATGTCTACTGACAGCAATTCTAGCAAATTCCATTCATTATTTACATAATATATTTGCCAAGAGTTAGAACTGGTTCAATAACATGGATGCAGGGTTTTAGACCTAAAATAATGCAAAGAAGACAAGTTCATATTCTATTTAAACACCACAATAGTTGTGAATTAGCATATGAAGAATTTAGAAATAAATATTTGGTCGAATAACCCCGATCACAGCTTTCAGGGATTAATAAAGGTGCATCTTCTTCATCTTCTTCTTCTTAAGGCCTGTCTATCACATTGCTGTTGACTTTATGCCACTCCTAATGCAACATTTCAAGCAGCTTGACTTAGTTTTGGCTCGTTTTGGCATCCATCTTTATCTTGATCAATGGTGTTCATATAATTCAAATGTCACTTAACAATCGTAGGATGACATTAAGTCATCACGCCAGCTTGTGTAACAGGAGCAGTGAGGATGCTTCAAAACAGGCTCCTTGATGTTTTTAGTGGATATAAAATCAAAAACAGATTTTACTCAAACCCTTATCTATAAATAGAAACAGAAAATGTTGCAGTGGTCTCTTTCAGAGCTATATTTAAAAAATATATATAACATGTAGGACAAGTAGGACAATCAATGAACTCAACAATCAAATGAATGAGCGGACACTATCTATACAGCTAATTAGGGAAACGGACATGTTTGAAACAAATAGTGAACACATGTGTGTGTGGTTTTGATTCTCAATAAATGAAATGCTTGTCTGAGTGTGCTCTGCTTATCAAAACAGATTTTCCTAAGAAGAATATATTGCTTTGGTAAATACCTCGACTTCATCTTATCTGTTTCCTATCACATTTGTCCTTCTGGCATCAGCTTCTGTAAAGCATTAGGTCTACTGTCCTGACTGCAAGACATTCATCAAGAGCATATTTATTATGATCATATGCTAGTT